ACAAAGACAGAAATATAGATCAATGGAACAAAATAGAAAGCCCAGAGATAAATCCACGTACCTATGGTCACCTTATCTTTGACAAAGGAGGCAAGAATATACAATGGAGAAAAGACAATCTCTTTCGCAAGTGGTGCTGGGAAAACTGGTCAACCACTTGTAAAAGAATGAAACTAGAACACTTTCTAACACCGTACACAAATAAACTCAAAATGGATTAAAGATCTAAATGTAAGACCAGAAACTATAAAACTGCTAGAGGAAAACATAGGCAAAACACTCTCTGACATAAACCACAGCAGGATCCTCTATGACCCACCTCCCAGAATATTGGAAATAAAAGCAAAAATAAACAAATGGGACCTAATGAAACTTAAAAGCTTTTGCACAACAAAGGAAACTATAAGCAAGGTGAAAAGACAGCCTTCAGAATGGGAGAAAATAATAGCAAATGAAGCAACAGACAATTAATTTCAAAAATATACAAGCAACTCCTGCACTTCAATTCCAGAAAAATAAAAGACCCAATCAAAAAGTGGTCCAAAGAACTAAACAGACATTTCTCCAAAGAAGACATACAGATGGCTAACAAATACGTGAAAAGATGTTCAACATCACTCATTATCAGAGAAATGCAAATCAAAACCAATGAGGTACCATTACTCACCAATCAGAATGGCTGCTATCCAAAAGTCTACAAGCGATAAATGCTGGAGAGGGTGTGGAGAAAAGGGAACCCTCTTACACTGTTGGTGGGAATGCAAACTAGTGCAGCCACTATGGAGAACAGTATGGAGATTCCTTAAAAACCTGGAAATAGAACTGCCATATGACCCAGCAATCCCACTGCTGGGCATACACACCGAGGAAACCAGATCTGAAAGAGACACGTGCACCCCAATGTTCATCGCAGCACTGTTTATAATTGCCAGGACATGGAAGCAACCTAGATGCCCATCAGCAGACGAATGGATAAGGAAGCTGTGGTACATATACACCATGGAATATTACTCAGTCATTAAAAAGAATTCATTTGAATCAGTTCTAATGAGGTGGATGAAACTGGAGCCTATTATACAGAGTGAAGTAAGTCAGAAAGAAAAACATCAATACAGTATACCAATGCATATATATGAAATTTAGAAAGATGGTAATGATAACCCTGTATGCGAGACAGCAAGAGAGACACAGATGTATTGAACAGTCTTTTGGACTTTGTGGGAGAGGGCGAGGGCGGGATGATATGGGAGAATGGCATTGAAACATGTAAATTATCATATGTGAAATGAATTGCCAGTCCAGGTTCGATGCATGATACAGGATGCTCGGGGCTGGTGCACTGGGATGACCCAGAGGGATGGGATGGGGAGGGAGGTGGGAGGGGGGTTCAGGATGGGGAACACATGTACGCCCATGGTGGATTCAAGTTAAGGTATGGGAAAACCAATACAATGTTGTAAAGTAAAATTAATTAATTAATTTAAAAAAAAAAGAGGATGGTTGGATGAAAAAAAAAAGAGAGAAGTGTTCCTAATTTTAAGCACACCCTTCTTGAAAGGTGCCTTACCAAGGAGGAGTTACAAAATATATTAAAGCATCTCAAATTCATATATCTTCTGGCTGTGTGTGATCTTTCCAAGTTCACTCCCAGTCATTCCCTGAAGGACTGGGAAGGTGCTCAGATTTATTGAGGGGTGTATTAAGGCCAGGGCTCTGCTCAAGTGCAGGAACTGGGTCTCCTCAAGAGATATCTCATGTCCTTGAGCTCTGCCCTCTGCCCGGGACCTGTCCAGACAGGCCAGGGAAGGAGGTATTCGGCTGCTTTGGGCAGATTAAGTGGGATTTAGATGATCTTGAAATACCAGGGAGTACACACAGCACATGGTAGGCTTTCAAGGAAGAATGACTGATTGACAGACTGAAAGGCCCCTCTATCAGGAATTTCTTTATAATGAACTACTTTTATGTAGAGGACATCCACGTAGTTCCCATTTGGCCAGGCTGTCACTCTGCTTTTTGTCTATCAAGGTCTTTGGCATTTCTGTGGGCTCCCTATGCAGGTAGCACTGGAGCCCAAATCTACCTCCCTGGAACTCCTCTCTCCTCAGAGCAGGATCAGGGGCTACTGGGAAGAGTGTGCTGGGCTTTCAAGTCAAGCCAACTTACGTTCAGATCCCAACTCTGACACTTGTTGGTTGAAAGACTTGGGCTATTGTTTTTAACCTTTAGAAGCAAAGACATCACTTTGGTGACAACAGCCCATATACTCAAAGCTATGGTTTTTCCAGTAGTCATGTATGGATGTGAGAGTTGGACCATAAAGAAGGCTGAGTGCCGAAGAATTGATGCTTTCGAATTGTGGTGCTAGAGAAGACTCTTGAAGAGTCCCTTGGACTGCAAGGAGTCAAACCAGTCAATCCTAAAGAAAATCAACTCTGAATATTCATTGGAAGAACTAGTGATGAAGCTGAAGCTCTAATACTTGAGCCACATGATGCAAAGAGCCGACTCATTGGAAAAGACCCTGATGCTGGACAAGATTGAGGGCAGGAGAAGAAGGGAGCTGCAGAGGATGAGATGGTTGGATGGCATCACTGATTCAATGGACACGAATTTGAGCAACCTCTGGGAGATAGTGAAGGACAGGGGAGCCTGCCATGCTGTAGTCCACAGGGTCACAAAGAGTCAGATACCACTTAGCAACTGAACTATAACAAGAAGACTCTGGTCCTTCATCTAAACGTGGGAATAACTCCACTTACGTTGGGTGGTTTTGAGAACTAAAACTATCGCCTATGTAATAATACTAGACACTCAAAAACCACTCAGAGAAAGCGTTCTTCTTTTGTGGCCATCACTCATATTATTGGAAGTCTTCTAGGGCCATGAGAATGAGAGTTCCTTTTCTTTCACAGCCCTGAGGATGCCACAAAACTAGCACCAGACATCTGTGAGGTCTCTCACCTCCTCCTCCCATGATACTGTGCTTTCTCTTCTTGGATGATGGTGCCCCCCTGCCCCTGTCTCATGAGGGCTCTGCTCTGTCTTGTGAAAGAGCTGCCTGAGACCTTGAGTGAGGGAACTCGGGGCGCAGGGGATGCACCAGTAGACAGGTGAGAAGTGGCTGGAGCGGGTGTGTGTGGTGGGGCTGCCCATCTGATGTCTTGATGGTTGCTACTCACGCCTGGACATTCTCTCCTGGGATACAGTGTCTTTCCTGAGGGTCACCATCAGCTTCCTCCCCTCTGTTGTCCAGGGCCACCTCTGAGAGCAGCAGGTGCCCCAAGACTCTGTCCTGTGGCCTCTCTTGTCCGTCCTGGTTTAGAGCAGCTTCTCAGGAGGCAGACACATCACCATAAATGCTTCCTGCCCTCCAGGCTGCAGGCTCATCACCCTTCCCACAGGGCTTCCTGCCCTCCAGGACCCTTCCCAGCCTCTAGGTGGTGGTTATTGTGATTGCTGTGTTTAGTGCAGGATGCAACAGTTTTGCTCACATTTATGCGTGTGTGGGCAGTGCGAAGGAAAGCTGACCACTGGGTCCACACTGGCCTGGGGCCCATTCTCCTCCACCCACTTCCCACAGGGGCCCGAGAAGCAGCCCATTGCCCTCTGGCCTGGGCAGCTGGATGCGCACCTACTTTTTTCCGAAGACTCACATGGGATGTCAATTAAGGTTTTGTTTCTGTGTCACAAAGGAAAATAGAACAGGGACTACTGAATCAGCTTTTCTTGAATCATAATCTGTGATTTCTCCATAAACTAGATAATGGTTTTTGAATTCCACAGCTGTTCCTGAGCATTTACTGAATGCTAAACCCTGCACTGTGAGTGGATGGAGGCTGAGATGCCAAAGATGGGGGTTCCTGTCTTTAGGGAGCCTCCGTGGGTCGTGGGTCCTGACAGCACCATGCTCTGCATCTGGGCTGGTGAAGGGCTGGGAGAGAGATGAGGCGGGTGCCTGGTGTTCTTACTAAAAGTCTTCCTTGACTGCCTCGAGCTCTAGCAAGCTCCCTCCTCTCCAGACCCTGGCTTCCTGTGGCATCTACAGCCGTGGTGATGTTCCCCACCTGTTATCTAGTCTTCTCGGCATCACAGCCTCACCAGGCCTGTCATATCATATGCACTTTAGCAAATGAAACAACTGAAGTTTAGAGAAGTGAAATAATTCACCCAGGATCACAGAGTTAATCGGCAGCAGAACTGGAATCTGCTCTCACGTGGTCTGATGCCCAGGCCAGGGCTTCCCTTAGGACGGAGTACTTACTCTCCATCATCACTTGACCCTGAGAGGCCCCTCTTCCATGTCACGTCAGCACTAGGTACCCTTTCTCTGTCTTTGTGTCCTTCCCTGAGGGCAGGGCCCAGTCAGCCTGGTGTCTGATCCCCTGCTGACAGTACCAGCCCAGACACTCCGATAGGCCCATTGGATGAAGGATGGAGAATGAACTCAGCACCTCTCTCCTCCCTTCTTGCTCCTTAGTCATCTGGGGGCAATGGAAGCAAACAGCTCTTATGAGCCAGGTGTCTGTCTAATTATAGCTGAGTTAGTCTTCAGACAGTGGATTAAAAACATAACAGTATCTGAGGTCTTTTAGCTGGTTCTCTCTGGGTCAGCATCCTAACCCCGCACATATCTAGATTTGCAGAAATAATAATAAAAAGCTGAAGCAACAATGACTTATGGGTCATTTACTACCTGTACTGCAGAGAGAAGCACCAAAACAGTCATCTAAACTAGAGAATTTGGTCACCTAGTTTTACAGTGTATATCTGCAACCAGAAGGGAAGCTATGAGGCAGTTGTCTTCTGTGAAGGCTTCTAGGGAGTCTGGGGTTGCCGGTAGATGAAGGGCCTTTGTTTCTGGTGGTGTCATTGCATTATTTTGTGATAGCAAGAATAATCCAGTACACTTTCTGCACCTTTCACTTCATTCTCTGTCAATGACTGAGCCTCCCGGGAGGTATGTCCCTGTCTCATTGTTGTATTGTTCTTTCCTCCAGAGATCCTGCGGATAATTCAGCTGGACCTAGACCTCAAGTACAAGACCAACATCCGGGAATTGTTTGAGGAGTTCGACAACTTCCTGCCAGGCGCCATCATTGGCATAGCACGGGAGATGCAGCCAGTGTACAGGTACGTGGGAGCAGCTGGCCTGCGGCCTCCAGGAACCCTCTCTGACTCTTACCACCTCCACCCCCCCACCCTCCGCAGATGGGATTGATGGGTCTGCCGTCTTTCTGCACTGAACATCTTGGGGACACTTTCGTATTTATTGTTTACAGTAAATAGTTTGGGCAGCGGAGTCTACACCAAGACCATAGATGCTTACTTAACTCATTCATTTGGGAGAGTTGATGACATTTTTTTCTTGTGGAAAGCCCAGCCATTTGTGGGTTCTGGTTCAGCTCAGAATTTTAAAATCTCAGGCTCTGTCTTACAATGGAGGTGTTGAGATGCAGCTTTAACTTGCTTGTCTGGTGATGAACTAAGTTTTCTCGGCCTCTGTGTCACCAGCAAGCCCTCCTCTGTGTAAGGGGAGCAGGTTTGTCAGTGTTTTTCAGGGAGGGAGAGGCCGCACAGCTTTCTTACACAGATGGGCCTTGACCAGTCGAGTCAGGAGTGCATTCTTGTGCTATATATAGTGTTTTCCTTATCAGGTGCTCAGCGTAGAGAAACTCCAGCATTGAGAACCGGGAGACATGTTCAAGAGTATTCACTGTGGCATCATTTGTAGTAGCCCAAACTGAAAACAGCTGAATGCTCATAGACAACAGAATGGATAAATATAATATATTCATCCAGTTGAGTACTTGAGATAAAAATGAGCAGACAGGTACCTATGTGCACTGATGGGCAAGGCTAAACTGTACTGTTTAGGGATGTATATGCAAGTGGTAAATGCCATAAGGAAAACCAAGGGATGACGGTCCCAAACAGCAGCATGACAGTTACCTGTGGAGTGGGTGGGGGGTGGGAGGGGCGTGGACACGGGTGGGCATTGCCCCTGGGAGGCTGCAGTGCTTTGTGCTCCGCTTGAGGGGCTGTGCTTGTGTTTGCGTGTATTCCTTTGTGTGTAATATATATCTTACAATTTAAAAACATTTAAAAAGAGAAGGAAAAGCAGAAGCACCTGCAGGTTTTCATTATAAACCAGGCCCATAACCCTGGGTACAGAGACTTCCACATTGCTGACTGTTCCTCTTCCGGGCAGAGCCATAGCCCCCCCAGAGCCTGGAGCTGGGGTTTTGCTGCCCCCCTGAGCTGGCCCACCCTTGGTGGGTGACTGTGGGCATTCTCAGAGCCAGGCCCAGTCTGCGGAGAGTGGCAGGGCAACTAGTGACTCAAGAACACGCATGTCCTCTTAGAGGAGAGTGACAGCCTTGGCTTGGTTGTAGTTATTTGCAAGACCCAGATCACATAACAGGAAATTCCTGCTAGGCCTCTGAGTGAGTTGATAACTCCTGGACCAGGTGGGCTGTTTCCCTTACATAATCTTCTCACAGGTTGCCCCGGAGTCATGCAGTAGAGCCCCATACCGTGCTGTGGGTGGGGAAGAGGAGACTTTGGGCAAACACCTGCCCTTGCACTCATAGCAGCATGCCCCAACCCCGCCCCGCCCCCTTCCTTCACCTTCACACAAGGCCTATGTTAGGTCTGTGGTTGTTGTTAAACCGGGGGAGGAGATGGAAGGAACACTGAACCAAGAGTCTGATGTCCTATGTGCTAGTCCCAGCTTGGTCACCACGCTTGGCCTTGCCATCTGAGGGTGGGAGCAGGTGAGCTGTGAGACCACCCTCCTCCAGCCCTGGCATTTGTGATCCCAGCCCTTCTGACCCTCACCATTTCCAAGTCATCTTTGCTCATCCTGAGGTTGCTTGTCAGCTGGTGAATTCCTCACCGCTATATAAGGCCCATGCCCCGAGGATCGTTAAACCAGGCTGACTCTTAAGTGCAATTAGAGCTGTGAGGCCTTCAAGCCCTGGTTTAGAATTTTCCTCATGTAATACAGATGAAAACTTGATCACGCTTAACTTAAATGGTATTGACCAGAATTTATCTTTTCTGTACATCGAACATTTTAGAAACGGTGAAACCTAAAATCAATTTAATTAGCCTTTTCAAAGGAAACCTTTGAAAGATTTTAGATCCAAAATGAAATTGAGTTTTCCTCATCTTCAGAATCCTTCATTCTGCACCGTGACATGAGACAGAGGAGACTCTTGTAGCATGGCTGGTGATAAAGTCCAGAAGATGCCCTGTTTGTAGGGCTCACTCTGTCAGAAGCAACAGAAATGAAAAGTCCTTTACTTGCTCTTCCCCTCTTCCGTCCCCTTCCAGCCGAAATGTTTCTAAAGACCTCTGACAATTAAGTCTGCAGTGACTGCCCTGTGTTGATCTGTCCCCACGGCTCTGAGTAATTTGATACTTGCCTTCTGTCTCAGGCTGAGGCTGGGAGCATTTGCTGCTGGCTGGGGCAGGGAACTGTGGTTTTTTTGCCGTCTTCCACAAGAAAACTGGAGTAGCCCCAAAGATCGAGTGTCAGCTGTCTGCCGCTCTGAAGTCTGTGCCTGGGTGTGAGTGTTTGTAGGGAGGGGGAATGAAGGCAAGGAAGTAAACAAGGCCTGAACCAGGGCCGGCAGAGCCAGGCCCCTGAAAATAGCTTCAGTCCCATCTTCGTAGACTTGGCTGGTGTAGCTGGTGGGGAATCCCCGTGGCTGTCTGCCTTCCTCTGTAGGCACCCAGTCCTCCCCCAGGAACTGGCATGTGGATTGTGAGGTGGGCAAGGTTTTATCATAAACAGAATCTGCTAGTATCTGTGCAAAGAAAGGAAAATTTAGAAACCAAACAGCACAAAAGCAAACTTAGCTGATGAACAGAGCGCATTCTGATCTGGAAATTCACTAAGCAGAAATAAATCTAGACCTTCTTAGCTGTGTTATTTTTATAGTCACTTGTCCGAGAGTTACTATACCTCAAAAAAGGCACATATTAAGTCATTTTTATGGCTGTTTCTCTTTGATTGTGTGCCATGAATGTTAGAAGCTTGAGGGGCTGGAAGAGAAAGTATTTCCCACTGTACTTTTGACAAATAGCTTTTTAAAAAAACAATCCCCCCCACCCCCCGTCCCAAACATAGCACCACATCAGCTGTATTTTCTGGAAAATGATGTCTCATGGGATGCTAGCATTTTGATTAAGGAGCCTTTTCCTCTTGGGTCCCTGTAAGACTTTGTTGAGTCAAATGTCTCATGACTTCCCTCATCTGAAAACTGGGGAGCAGTGGTCATCTTGGGTGGAACATTGTCCTTCCTTTTGTGATTCTTTCTCTTCTTCTTTGCTAGGAAACTCTAGTTAGTTGGGCAGTGTGGTTAGTTGGAATAAGGGGAGATGGGTCTAGTGCTTTTTAGCCATGAACAGCTGTGTTTCAAATATGTGTTAATCCAGGATGCCATTGAGCATTTTCTTCCTTATGAGTGTATTGGAAAATAAAACTGTTAGACCCGCTTTGTGCATAACTTATAAAAATTGTAATGGTGTATCACCTGGCAGAGCAGCCATACATAGAGGAAATGACTCAGATTATACTCAGAAACCGTGGATTATAGTCCTGCCTTTTACGAATTACCCATGTGACACTATGCAAGTCAATTGATTCTCTGAACTTCTGTGTTTTCATCTGTAAGTGGGGATAGACATGTCTAATACATAGAATTGCTGAAACGCTCAAATGAAATAAAACACATGAACGTTTCTGGTGTAAAAGAGACTCTGGGTAAAGGACGTTTCCTCCTTCCCACCCTTAATCATCATAGCTCCATTTGTGTTTTCCTTTCCACCTGATTTGTTGTTCTGTATACCTCCTACTCTACCCCACCCACAACAGATATGGTTGCCAGTTAAAATACAGGATGCCCAGTTAAATAAATTTCAGATAAACAACAAACAACTGCTTTATGTAAGTATATCCCCAAATATTGTAAGGGGATATACTTACACAAAACAAGTATTCTTTATATGAAATTGATATGTAACTGGGTATCCTGCTGGGTTTCTTTCCTTCCTTCCCTTCTTTTTTTCTACATTTGGCAGTTCTACCCCTACTCAAGTGTTAAAACCCCCCTTTTTAGCAACAGGGAGTGATCTGGCTTTTCTCTAAGATCCTTGAGTGAATGGGAACAAAGGGTATGGAAGTTGGAAACCAGTGGGAAGGCAGGAAGTTGAGAGGCAGCCTTCAGAGTCTTCGGCAGACACCAGGCCTGAGGTTCACCCACCCTTCTGCAGGAGCCAGGGCCAGACTGTGGCCTGGGAAGTTGGGTAGGCCCCTGGAGCGAGGACACCTGGCAATGGCTTAGCTTCAGGCCACAGGGCTCCTGCTGAGCCTGGAGTGAGTGAGTGAGAGTGTGTGTGTTGAGGAGCTGGGGTAGCAGCCATTGGTCATGGTCACTCTGTCTTGAGGCTGGCCACCTGAGGAGCTGTTGAATGGTAGCTTTATTAATGGGAGCCACGGGCTTCTGGTTCATTCTCTCTTGGCTCCATTGGCTGGCTGTATGCTGGTTTGAGCCCAAACCCACCATGAGGTGGAAGCAGCAAGCGAATCCTGTCAACTGCTGATAATGACACCAGGCAGGAATTTGCTTTTGTGGTTAATACTTTAATGATGTCCACTCTTCTACATTTTTAGGTCTTGTGGTTTTTATTGATAGCATTTGTGCCAGCCTAACCTCTTTCCAGATGCTTGAAATAAAAATGTCTAACTTATTTTCAGGGTTCTTTATTCCCATTCCTAGCACTGGAAAAGGGCTGTCAGGGATGTTGGGAAGGAAGTGAGGACTAGCACAGAAGTAGGAGGGGAGGACGTGGACTTACATCACCTCTGCCACTTATGGCTGTGTGACCTTGGGCAAGTTTCCTGACCTCTCTGAATTTTAGTTTCTTTAGCTGAGACCTGGAGATTATAGCAATGCTGTATAATAGTATATATGGTGAAGTCGATCGAAAGCTAAATTAGACAATGTATCTGGCACAGACTAGCATTTCTTATTTGTGATAGCAACTTTATCCAATCCCACTCAGGCACTTAGTTCTGTGACCTTAGGGAGCTCACTTAATCTGTGAGGTTCAGCTCCCTCATG